TACGGAGAGAGAGAGAGAGAGAGAGAGAGAGAGAGAGAGATGAGCGATACAAGTTTGGTTGTCACTTACCTGTGAAGCGAGCTGTGCAGTCCCACGTGGAAGAGGAAGAAGCGGCCATAGCCGCAGAGTGTCACCACGGAGTACCGAAGGAGGGAGAGAGACCGGACAGAGGGGGAGAGACCGACGAGGGAGAGAAGGAGGCCATAGGCGAGAGGTGAAGAGAGGGCCGATCAAAAAAAAAAAAAAAAAAAAAAAAAAGACAGCCGGGGTGAAAGGAGGCGAGGAAGGTGAAGGGAAGAAGAAGGTTGGTGAGGAAGAGGAGCCGACAGCCATAGCTGACCGAAGGGTTGACCGAGGGGAGTTGACCGGAGGCATTGACCGATGTTGACCAGCGTTGACTGGGGGTTGACCTGGACTTGATCGACGTTGACCTGGAGTTGACCGCAGCGTTGACCAAGACCTACACCCCTTGGTACTTGCTGAGTCCAGTCTGTCTGTCTATTCTTTCTGCATTGAGTCTCTTCTATCCTAGGTGATAGTACTCTGTGGATGACGGATAGGGTCTTGTTGACCAAACCCACACGGGATGAGTAGGGCTAAAAGTTGTGTCTGACGACTCGACTGTCCCGGAGGTCAAACCCTCCCAAGGACCGGTACTGACTGGCGGGCTGCTCGATGTGGCACGGTAGGCCTCGAAATCCGAGCTGTGGGTTGTACAACAGACCGTCTAAGTCTTGAGAGACCTGCTGATCTCGTCGTCCTGTCTGCGACGTTAAATAATTCCTGAGGAGTTTGGGGGATCCCCTTAAAGGCCTCTTGATCAGCAACAGGTCTAGTAGTGACAACCATACTTAGGTCTAGGCTAGAGACCATAGTTGGCAGGATCCTTGTCAGGATTCTGTAAGTCCTTAGATTGAGTCAGTAGGTTTGTCAGGCAGGGGTCAAAGTTTACGTGGTGAGGAGTGGAATCGTTCTGATTGTGCACCTGTCACCATGGTTGAGACCCGTAGTGGTATAGACACTAGCCCCTACACAAAGGAGCAGCAAGAAAGATGGCCGCCTTAGTGAAAGAGAACAGGGAGAGGAAAGAGCGTGAGAAGCAGGCGAAGTTAAAGGCTATCGCAGAGGAGCAGGCGGCCAAGATGAAGGAATTGGAGGAGGAGATGGAGAAAAAGAAGAAAGCTGCTGAAGAAGAAGCTGCAGCAGAAGAAGAAAAAGAGAGAATGCGTATTGAGAGTAGAGAGGGAAGTAGTGGCACAAAGAGGGACACATACGTAGAGATGGAGAGGAAAATAAGTAAGTGGGTTGCTAATTTATCGTTGGGAAAAGATAAGGAGGCAGAGTCCTATGTGACTCAGGATGAGAGGGAAGCGCTGGCCAATGAGCTAGCAGCAATGGAAGATCCGATGGAACGGCGAGAAAAGGAGGAGGAGCAGAAGTTAGCATGGAAGTTGAGGATGAAGAGGGAGAAGAAGAGGAGGAGAGAGGAAGTGAACAGACTGACCACAGAAGTGGCAAAAGTGCAAGAGTGTAGGAAGGAAGTGTTGGCCCAGGCATATGACAAGGCCAAATGGGATAAGGTATTGGGCTACCTAGAGGTGCTGAGCAAAGCTTGGATGGAGGAGCGCCAGGCCAGTTGGAGCCAAGACGTAGCCTTGAGTGCCATGCGGTCAGGGTTTAGGGAGTTTGCGCGCGAGATAGTCACCCACATTGGGGGCGAAGTCAAGCAGTTGAGAGACAATGTGGGGAAGTTTTGAGAAGGCGCTATTGAGGGCGCCAAAGCGATAGCCGATGTAGAGGGCGAGGCTAGACCCCGTAAAGAGCCTGTAAAGCTCAAGTTCCCAGATGCGTACGGGGGAAAGAAGGAGGAGAACTTTGACAACTGGGAGGCCAGTGTCAATAGTTATATATATTTACAGCATATCCTGTCAGAGGAACAAGTCCTCGTGGCCTTCCAGGCCCTTGAGGACGAGGCGGCTAGTTTTGCCAGGTCCCTTGCGCGCACAGCCGGTTGTGAAAACAACCTGGTTGCATATTCAAGAGTCACCCCCCTTCCTCAATTCTTCAAGCTCCTGAAGGAGCAGTTTGCAGACCCAACGAGAGGCGTTCGCGCCTTTGATAAGTTACAAACGATCCACTCACGACAGTGGAGGAGTGCAAGGGCACTCAAGGGTACAATGGACGACTTGGTAGCCGTCCCAGACCATGGGGTCACTGAGCCCCAGTTGGTTCAGTTATTTTATCGTGCCATGCCAGAGGCCCTGCGTCGGGATTTCTTTGACAAATCTCAACAGGTCGGCATCACATATGACGCGCTGAGTAGAGAAGTCATCCTGTACGAGTCAAGGTCCATGCCAGTTACCACTTTCTGGCATGAGGACTTGGATAAGGGAAAAATGTGGAAAGGTCGTACCATCTCAGGCAAGGTGAGGGCCAAGGATCACATGATCCTTACTTTAGAAGAAGGTGGTACTGACGAGGTCCCATACAGTCAGATTGACTGGGGCCTAGAGGAGGAGGGCAGTAGTGTGGGACAGGGGAGGTCTTATGCTGCTGTCACGGCTGGAGGGAGGCCGCCAATTAGAGGAGGAGGCCAGGGCCAAAGGGGCCAGGCCATGGGAGGCCGAGGACCGGGCGCACAAGGGGTTGGCGGATAGGGAAATCGCCAAGTGGGAGGTAGGGGTCAAGGTTCCCCGCCAAATCGCCAGGGTTCTAATCGGTCCCCGCAGCGAAGAGGTGGAAGGGCACCTCAAGGAGGATGGTACCCAGGCTTGCCACAGGGCAGGCCCTGGGAAGATTTGGGCTTGGACCAACGCGTACGGCCGGAACGCGTGAACCTGGGTCTGTGCGTTTTTTGTGGTGACCCGGCCCACGTAATTAAATTTTGTCCACAGTATAGACAGGCCCGTTGGGCTGCCCCGCAGTCAAAAGGCAGCCGCCAGTAGGGGTCGCAACTGGCCCTACTTTAAGGCCATGTGGAGAAGTGAGCGCGCGCGAACAGGACACTCCCAACCCACATGAGCCTATGGCAGAGGTTGCAGGCCCATGCCTAGCTATCTGTCCAGAGACTGCTTGTGTTAGCGTCTCTTTAGGCACGTCCCTCACAGGTGTGGCAGAAGAATTAAAGGAGAGGATGCCAACCTGGGCCAAGATGAAGAAAGAGAGTAAAGGGCAGCTGATCTTGGTAGATGTAGAAGTTTTCAGGAGTAGAGTAGGGGCCCTTATAGACTCAGGGGCCACCCGCAGTTATATTAGCCGTAGGGCGCTGAAAAAGTTAAGGCTAGGATTGAAAGTCCAGAAATTAGCAGACCCCATAGTCAGTGTCCTCGCAGACAACCGCACAATGCGTGTTGAGGACTATGTAGAGGGAGTCCAGGTGTACTTTCGCCTAGAGAAGGATGGGAAGGTGGAGAAAGTTCTCGATTCCCTGACTCTCCTCGAACAGGACGACCTTCCTTTTGATGTAGTATTGGGAATGGATTTGGGGGGAGGCAGCAGGGGCCACACTCCATTTGAGAGAGCATGTGTAGGCTCCCTAGCCCATCATTCGGGTTCAAGACTGCCCGTTTGTTTCATGTGTCAGGTGTAGACAACACCTTGGCACATTGCTGTCTCAGTGCTCTCGCATTCGCGCGACTAGTGAAGAAGGAGCAGTTAGAGGACCAGGTCTTTGTAGTTTATGTTAGACCTGCCACTGAGGCCAAGGAAAGCTGCTGGAAGAGTTCAAAGATTTGACTGAGTCACCGACAGGAGTGGTGCTGCGACCCATCCAACACAGGATAGAGATAGAGCCTGGCAGTAGAACTCCTAAGGGTGCAGTTTACAGGATGTCCCCTAGAGAGTTAGAGGAGCTTCGCAAACAGTTAGACGAGCTCCTTGAGAAAGGTTGGATCAAACCTAGTTCGTCTCCTTTTGGAGCACCAGTTTTATTTGTCCCAAAAAGGAAGGAGAGCTTCGTATGTGTATAGACTATAGGGGTTTGAACGCGATTACTGTGAAGAATGCTGAGCCACTGCCCAGGATAGATGATCTCCTAGATCGGGTGCAGGGTTGTAAGTATTTCTCCAAGATAGATTTGAAGTCCGGATACCATCAGATAGAAGTCCATCGTGATGATCAGTACAAGACTGCATTCCGGACTAGATACGGGCACTATGAGTTCATAGTGATGCCCTTTGGACTAACCAACGCGCCAGCCACCTTTCAGCGTTGTATGAATGACCTGTTCAGACCATGGTTAGACAAGTTTGTAGTAGTCTATTTAGATGATATATTAATTTTCAGTAGGACCCTCCAGGAGCACCAGGGTCATCTGAGGCAAGTCTTGGAGAAGCTACGAAAGGCTAACTTCAAGATCAACGCAAAGAAGTGCGAGTGGGCCAAGACACAAGTCTTGTACTTGGGCCACGTGTTGGACGGAGATGGCATTAAGCCAGAGGACAATAAGATAGCGGCGATTAGAGATTGGCCGACGCCCCGCACACTGACAGAGTTGCGGTCGTTCCTAGGTTTAGCTAACTACTATAGGAAGTCCATGAGGAACTTCTCCACTATCGCCGCTCCCCTGCGCAGGTTGCTTAAGAAAGAGGTAATCTGGCAATGAGACAAAGATTGTACGTCTGCGCTAAAGAGATTGAAGCGCGCATTAATAGAGTACCTTATCCTCAAATTAGCAGATCCGTCCTTGCCATTTGTTGTCACCACGGACGCAAGTCGGTATGGAATAGGCATCGTGTTGCAGCAGGATTACGGCAATGGCTATAGACCTGTAGAGTTCATGTCCGCGAGGATGCCCTCAGAGAAGGTAGCCACCTCGACGTACGAGAGAGAACTCTACGCTCTCAGGCAGGCCCTAAACCACTGGAAGCATTACCTGCTTGGGAGGCACTTCAAAGTGTATTCTGATCATGAAACCCTTAGATGGTTAAAGACCCAGGCCAAGATGGCACCTAAGCTAACTAGGTGGGCCACTGAGATAGACCAATACGACTTCGAGCTCAAGCCAGTAAAGGGCAAGTACAACGTAGTTGCGGACGTTCTGAGTAGGAGATCAGGCTACTTTGGAGCCATAGTACACTATCTGGATATAGGGAGAGACCTGCAGGAGAAAGTGAAGCAAGCGTATGTGCAGGACCCTATCTATAGCGACCTCCTAAAGAGAGTTAGAGAGGCCCCAGAGACTGAGCCAGATTACCGCACTACAGAGGGATAACTGTTTTAGAAGACTAATGTATTTGACCGCCTGTGCGTTCCCAACAACGCAGAGATTCGTAGTTTGATCCTAGGTGAATGCCACGATACTGAGGGACATTTTGGTTGGCAAAAGACATTAGCCAATCTGATGCGTGCGTACACCTGGCCATGGATGAAGAATGACTGCATAGAATATGTTCGCAGTTGCAAGGTGTGCCAGAGGAATAAGACTACTACGCGCGCCCCTCTAGGTCTTCTCAGACCCTTGCCTATTCCGGATCAGCCGGGAGACTCAGTGTCCATAGACTTCATGGACACCCAAGTAAAGAGTAGACATGGCAAGAGCCAAGTCATGGTCATAGTTGACCGTTTTAGCAAGTATGCTGTTTTTGTTCCCTTGCCCGCAGAGGCAAGTATGGATTTAGTGATACAGAAGTTCTTTGACTTTTGGGTTAGTGAGAATGGAATCCCATTGTCAATAGTTAGCGATAGAGACAGTCGTTTCACCAGCCAGAACTGGCAAAAACTCATAAGAGTCTATGGATCTAAGTTATTAATGTCGCCTGGCCGCCATCCAGAGACGAACGGTCAGACAGAACAGATGAACAAGATCCTACAGCAAGTTCTGCGCATGTACATTAGACAAGACCAAATCAACTGGGATGAGACGTTACCTAAAGTAGCTAGTGCATACAACAACAGCGTGCATCTATCCTCCTGCCGCACTCCCAATGAGCTGCACAAGTCCTTTAGACCGCGCAGACCATTCGAAGGACTGAACCGGGATCAAATTCATAGACTACCGCCCGGTACCAAGGAGTTTGCGATACAGCATGAGAAAGAATTAGCAACTGTTGTTGAGAACCTCCTAAAGGCCCAGCATAGGACGATAGAACAAGCTAATAAGCACCGTCGCCCATCACAGTTTCAAGTAGGCGACTTAGTCTGGGTCAAGGCAAAAGAGTTTGCACCTGAAGAAAACATCTCGCAGAAGTTACTACCTGCATATAGAGGACTGTGGCCAGTTCTAGAAGTCAAGGGCGGAGAGGATGGACCGTCCTACACAATAGAGATCCCAGCACACCTCCACACATACTCCGTGTTCCATGCTTCAAAGTTGTTGCCGTGTGTCACAAGTCAACAGTTCCCTTCAAGAAGATTCATGATCCCCGCGGATATGGATGGAAGTTATGACATTGTCGGCATTGTAGATGAGGATGTGTTCAGAACAGGAGGTAGAGGTCGTCCCCAGAAACAGTATAAGGTCCGGTTTGCTTATCAGGAACCGGAAGACGACCGCTGGCTTACAAGAACAGAGCTTCTAGAGACAGCTCCCGACATAGTCTGAGCCTACGAGCGCGACAAGAAGGGTAAAGGTCCTGCCTTGGACTGAAATATTCTTGGAGGACCTCGAATTTAGGACGGCGGGAGTGAAACGGTTCTCACCTTTTAGCAGTAGCGGATGCAGTACCCAGGGCTCGATCCCTAGACCTCACCCTACCCATGTACAGTATTTGTGTAGACCCCGAGAGTTGAACCTGTGACCTGTGTATTCGTAGAAGTTGGTAGGTCTGTCGTAGGTCCGTAAGCATCAGGGGTTCAATCTGTAGGTCTATAGAGTAGA